GGGGGGGGGGGGGGGGGGGGGGGGGGGGGGGGGGGGGGGGGGGGGGGGGGGGGGGGGGGGGCGGTGATAGTGAGGGTTCAAGGCAGCCGTAAACAAGAAAGAAAGGAGGCATTGTGCAGAGAATCCGACGCTTCTATTCGGAGTTTGGCTTGAGCTGGAATCTTTGGTGCACGCACTGGATATGCATCTCACTCTAGGGCTCCCCTACGACCTGCGTGGGATAGAGACCTGACCTCCGTCCCTTTACATGGATTTCTTAATTCCTATCAATGGACCTTTTTGCCCTTTTCCCTTCCTAAGGCCCATTGGGCTTCTTCTCTCTTTCTCTCACCTTCACAATTCCCCTTTCTCTCTCTCTCGTCCCCGTTTCAATTTGGTTTCTAAGGTTTTGCTCGACCACGTAAACTAATCTTGCATTACCGAGTCGTAGAAAAATGATTCGATCTGTTAAGCGTTTTTAATAACGATTGGTTGTAGTAGAGCTACAGTAGAGCTACGATTGACTCATAACTTCAAATAGAGATTATATATTAGTTCGGATTCCTTTTGTGTATCTCGAGCCTCTTTATGAAGAGTATGTTTTAATTTGTTAATCCTTCCATTACAATAAGAATTCTTAGGATTGTATATAATTAATTGATTTCGAATAATAAAAACTAATTAAAATAAAATGTTGGAGTTTTGGAAAGTAAAAGTTTTAAAAAATGCATAATATAATGGACTTAATTCATAATTTAGCATTTTATTAATTATAAAATAATTTCAAATTTTAATTTGTCGTGGCCTTTTTTGTTTAATGAAAATATAACGTACTTGGGATCTAGATCTTCTCTTTCTTAAACCTTAACCTCATAACGATTCATCACCTTAAATCCCGTTCATATTTTTCAATCAATCTAGCTCGACCCATTTCATCGAACATAAAAATATTATAACATAACTTACATCATATCATCACCAAACAACAATTTATGACCTAAAATTTCATTCATGTTTTTCAATCAATCTAGCTCGACCCACTTCATCTAACTAAAATACCATAACATACCCGTTCTCATCAAATTGTGCTAGATTCTCCCTCTTTCTTAAACATCAGCCAAATAACAATTTATGACTTAAAATTTCGTTCGTGTTTTGTAACCAGTCTAGCTCGACTTATTCTATCAAAATAAAATATTGAACAGACGAATTGTAAATTTTAATCTCGATATAAATTTAATAATTCAACTTATAAAAGTCAAATATATTATGTATAGTTATATCTCATGGTAAAAATCTGATTTGTTTTCAATTCAGGCAAAAAAAGGTAAAAAAGTAATAAAAATGGCATAGTCAATATAAATCTTTAATTAATTTTGTAATTAATAATATTAATGAAAATTAAAAAGGGAAATAATTAGTGACCTACATTATTGATTTTTAGTTTAAACCAAAATAAAATTAGAAGCAATAAATTAATTTAAAATTATATGTTTTCCACTGTTTATTATAAGTAAAAAAATACAAAAATAAATATTATAAATATTAAAAAAAAAAAAGTGAAATTATAATATTTTACAATAAATCAAGAATAGCGCATTTTAGCAGGACGCACCATTAAATAGCATATTACAAGATTATATTTCATTTTTATTATTATTATTACATTACACTAATTTTTTTCTCCTCCTAATTTTTTCCGACCGGCAATCGAGGGCCTCCAGCTCCAAATTCCTCGCCGCCACATCTTCGGAGCCAGAGCCGGCTCCGGCCCGGATCTAATTCTTCCATGTCCATCCTTTGGATTTCCCCAATTTTATGAACCCTAATTTACTCTTCTGTGCACTTCCAGTGACATTTTCCCCTATTTTTTGAAAAAGCGGGAAAAATCTTTTTTAGGGGAATTTCGTCTGTTTTCGCGGGAGGAGGCTTGTTTGAGTGGGCTAGTGCCTCTGGTACAGTGAGATTTGCCCACAGGTGAGCTTAATTTTGCTTGATGTTCTAAGTACACGTGGCGATCTGGATAGACACCACCCCCATTTTGTTTGCTCGGATTTCAGTGAGCTATTTTTAGGTTTTTTTTTTCGTTTTCCTTCTAATTTTGAGGGATAAAGTATTTGTAGCGTATGGATTTTGTACATGTGCTGTTCGTATTTTGAATGTAGTTCTTTTTGGCTGCGAATTGAGGAAATTGAGCTGAATTTTTTCATTTCGAGTGGATATGGATTTGTTGCGAAATGGGTTTCTATTTTTGTGTTTGAATGCTGAGGAATATGAAGATGGCGATGGGATTTTGTGCTTTTTAGCTGCGATTGTACTCTAGTTATGGAGAAATGTGAATGTCGATATTGTCAAATTATTTGAGATTGGGACTGGTTGATTAGTTTACTTCAAAGATCGAGATTCTCGAGGCTCTGATTTTTAAATTTGGTTTTCTTTTTCCGAGTTTACTGTAGCTAGCTGCTAAACAATACATGAATTTCCAGTTCTAGATCTTGTCTTTTATTTTCCTTCCTTGTTACTTGCCATAATGAGAATTCTCGACTTCATTGACTCTGAGATTTATCCTTTTTCTGCGTTGAAAATAAACTCTGCAGGTATTGGAACGTTGACATTGTTGCTAAATTATTAAGGAACGTGGAAATGTGGATATGTTTGAGAATGTGGCTTCATGAGCTGTTAAGAACAACAACTCACTGGTCGTAGCCTTTTTTGTCTCCGTGTTCTTAGTCTTTCACTGATTTAGATTTGTAAATGGAAGTAAACAAAGAGGAGGCTCTTAAAGCAAAAGAAGCTGCAGAGAAGCGTTTTGCCAAGCGAGATTACAATGGGGCTAAGAATTATGCGTTGAAGGCTAAAACTCTGTTCCCAGAGATGGATGGGATATCTCAAATGGTGGCAACTTTTGATGTTTATGTTGCTTCTGAGATTAGGTGTAATGGGGAGATAGATTATTATTCTATTCTAGGATTAAAGCCTTCTGCCAAGGAAGAGGCTATTAAAAAACAGTACAAGAAGATGGCCGTGTTGCTACATCCTGACAAGAACAAGACCGTCGGGGCCGATGGCGCGTTTAAGCTCGTTTCTGAAGCATGGGCTCTACTTTCGGATAGTTCCAAGAGAAATGCATATGATATCATGAGAACCACACAATTGGTATCTGGAGTCAACCAGCCACACTTATCTTCAGCTCATGGTTCTGCGGCTACAAGTTTTAACAACTATACTAATCTGTCCATGTCCCACGGTAGACTTGATACCTTTTGGACTGTATGCACTTCTTGTAAAGTTCAATATGAGTATCTTCGGAAATACGTGAACAAGAAACTTCGGTGCAAGAATTGTCGTGGCGTTTTTGTTGCTGTCGAAACTGGTGCTGCCCCTGTGAATGGTTCTTTTCCTTACTGCTCTTGGTCGAATGTGGCTGGTAATCGATATGGAAGTCATGGATTTGAGGGAGTTACGTATATCCCAGGAGATACTAGCTTTTTTACTGGGCATGGCTACGAATATGTTTCGAACATGTCGTTTCAGTGGAACTCGTCATCTGGAGTTTACACTCAAAGCTTGGGCTCAAATGGACTGTCGTCGGTGCCTATTGATAATGTTGGTCAAACCAATGGACATTTCAGTACGTCAGGAGTGAAAGACAAGGCTAGAGTCAATGGAAAGCGCGCTACGAAAAACAAGGGGGGCAATATGAATGCTAGCACACCCTTCGGCTGTAATGAGATTTTGGGATCTGATAGCAATGGAGGTGATAAGAGAAGGAAGGTAGTCGTGGAAGCCGGGTTGAGAAACGGCTATATGGAGAAGGGACCGCTGCCTGGTTCAGATTCACCATTGGCTAATGGAAATGTTAGTGTTAAGCATGAGCCTGTAGGTTCTTCCTCTCCAACTGAGGCTTCAGCTAAGCGCACCCCTATTCCTCCTGCATTTGACGCCAGAAAGCTGTTAATTGAGAAGGCAAGGACTGAAATTCGCAAGAAACTGGAAGAGATAAGGATTTCTTCAGCCAATGCTGCTGCACTTGAGAAATCAAAGACGGAGCCACCTCAAGTCGGTCGGGTTGGAAAGACTGGACGAGCACCTAAAACAGCTAATTCTGAGGTATCCGGCCGTTGGTTAAAGAAAGATAGAGCTGGACCAATCTCAATAAACGTACCTGATTCCGACTTCCACGATTTTGACAAGGATCGCTCAGAGGAATGCTTCAAAGCAAAGCAAATATGGGCTCTATACGACGAAGAAGATGGTATGCCTCGCTTGTACTGTCTGATTCGCGAGATCATTTCAGTTAAACCATTTAAGATTCTTATTAGTTACTTAAACTCCAAAACTGATACGGAATTTGGATCAGTAAACTGGTTGGAATATGGATTTACAAAATCATGTGGAAATTTCCGTGCTTGGAACTCTGATGTTATTGAACATATCAACATCTTTTCTCATGTCTTAAGCCGTGAAAAAGCTGGCCGGGGTGGCTGTGTTCGGATATATCCTAAAAGAGGAGACATTTGGGCTGTATATCGAAACTGGTCGACAAGCTGGGACAGATCAACACCCGATGAAGTGAGGCACCGATACGAAATGGTCGAGGTTCTTGACGATTACTCGGAGGAGCTTGGTGTCTGCATCTGTCCCCTTGTCAAATTAACTGGATTCAAGACGGTATATCAAAGAAATGCAGACAAAGATGCCATTCGATGGATTCCCAGGAAAGAGATGCTACGATTTTCACACCAGGTACCCTCTTATTTACTCAAGGGAGAAGCCAGCAACTTGCCTGAGTATTGTTGGGATCTTGATCCGGCCGCCACTCCCGACGAACTTCTCCACACTGCAAAAGAAAATGAAGGGTTGACTGAAACCAGTTGAGTTTAGCTGGAAAAGAAAAGGAAGATGATAATGGGTTGGAGTCAATCTGAACTGTCTTAACCAAAGTTAGGTCTAACTGTACAAATATGTCTCAAGAGTTTGGCCAAATGCCATTACAGACAAGACGAGTAATCTACGGTTGATTCGGATTAATGTGTGCCGAGTCGAGTCGAGTCGTTCCTTTGACGACGAATCTAGCTTCAAGTGAATGCTTTTACAGAAGAAGAAAGCAACTTTGAGGCTTGTTATCCTGCACTGCAGCACAACCATACAATTATTATGCTACGTTCCCTGCCTTGTTAATCAGAAGAGCTTTGCTTTTTTTTTTTTCTTCTTCTTTTTCCAGATTAGCTGTTCTTACTTTGTTCTAATGGAAATGAACGAGAACTTGGTTGTTTAATCTCTTGATTTTGTTGTAAAATTTGAAGCTTCAATGCTTTGAGGTCTCATTTCATACGACAAAACTACTGTTCATCTGATTTTGCTGATGCTACACGGGTTAAAATTTACCGTAACCTATCATCTTTTGAGGGTCTGAAGTAATTACCGTATCACTTGAAATATCATGGCCTATTTAGCTTGAATGCCGATTCACTCAATGTCTCGATAGAATCATTCTTGAAAACCGAACTCGAAAGTTAGAAACTCCTGTCCGTTAGCTCTCCAAGCTTTCATTAATAAGCTTTTACCTTTGGTGTTTCGCTATTAAGTACCATTCTATCCATTCATTGTAAAGTGAGCTGCTCCTGCAGTGAGAGCGGGTCGTTGCGTGCCGATTAGGGGATGGACTGGGAACGGCTCCTTTGAGGGCCTTCTCTAGACATCGAATTTAGCCAACTCAAAACTGGTACAGACTTCGGAAAATAATCTTTTAAGGAAGAGAAGTCAACCCGTTGACCGGTCAGATGAACAGCGCCGGTCAATCAAGAAGCCAGAAGAAGACCCTTTTTCTATTTCTTTTCCCTTTCCACTGTCTTCTCTTTATGGGCCGATATGTCGGCTGTGGACTGAAAGCAAGGAGAGCGACAGGTCGTTCTAATTTCAAACCATCGTCATCATATGTGGAAATAAAAAAACCCTTCACAAAGCTCTTCTTGAAGTCATTCCATTTCAAACCCAGAAAGCAAAGAACAAGATGAACCCGCTTCACTGGCACAAAGTCGCTGCGATTTCTGGTAATATCACCCCCGATTCTCCTGCTGTAGATTCTTGATTTGGATTTTGATTCGATTTCGGCGTTAAACAGGCGTTGCAGCTCTTGGATTGGGCACGTACGGTGCCCATGTCTTCAAACCCCAAAATCCGGCTTATAAAGAGGTTAATTTGCTTCATTTTTCGCTACTTTGATTCGATTTGATTTTGATTGTTTTTCTCTGAAATCAATGCTGTGAAGGTTTGGCAAACGGCGTCTCTGTATCATTTGGTTCACACAGCGGCTCTGCTTGCTGCCCCTTCGACCAAGAACCCTAACATTGTAAGTTTTCCCCCTTTTTTCATTCCTCGCGTTCGCAGCATCGTTTCTGGAAGTAAATTTTCTCCTTCTGATCATTTGGGCACGGCTTATTGATATCAAACGATTATTCAACTCGACCTAACCTGAAAGTAGGAACTAATCTTAAGCTTTAGAGTATGGTGGAAATCAAGGCACTAGATGTTGTGTTTGAATGTTTTGAATCCATTCAGATCTTTTTTCTTTCCTGGTATAAATTCTTCACATGTTAGGTGGATTCAGCTATAACATTCAAGCCCACAAATAAAACTTGCCATATGTGTCTACCCAAACTGTCTCGTTTTATTACCATTTGATATTTTGTTTTTGGAAATTGTGCTTATTTTCTCCAATTTCTTTACGAGGTCTTCATCTTTGCTAATTAAACACTTTAAATCTTAGTCAAATTCCAAATATTAAAACAAGTTTTTAAACTATTTCGTGGATTTTAAGAACATACGGCAAGATAAATAAACTCATAGGTAGAAATTTTATAAACTCACTTTTAAAAAACTTAATGGTTACGAAGTAAGACCTGAACTTTTAGTTTTTAGATTTCGCATTGATTTGATGGAAATTATATTTAAGCTTATATATATATTGTCTAATATATCTTATTAGGTAAATTGGTACTCATAATTTTATCTATGTCAATGTAAATGAATGAGGAACACACGTTAACAAATATTTTAAAAGATAAAGTTACTCTTCCAAAATTTCCCTAATATTTAAGTTGGTTTTGTGTTTTCCCCCTACTTTGATGGGTCCTTTGATGCTATCTTTATGTTTTTTTTTGGACAGTTTGGAGGCCTTTTGACTGCTGGAATTCTTGCATTTTCGGGCACGTAAGACCCATTTTTTGTTTCATCTTTGATGTTTGTTTGGATCTCTCCCTCTTTTATTTCTATTTGATTTTGCATTCATGTGTCTAAGTTTCCATGATTTACCTGTCACAACATTTCTCGATCCGAAGCTGAATTCATATTCAGTTTTCTTTTGTTCTTTTACTGATAAGCACAACATTTAATTGGTATGATGAATTATAGAAAAGAGAGTAAAAATCCCAAAAAACACTTGATCGACTCATGAGTTAGAAAAGAAAAGCTGTTGAGTTGGCTTAGAAAAATTGTACATGAAGTGAGACTAGTAAGAAGGATGAGGCGAGGAACGATCACCGATAGGAGAAGATAGGAGAAGCTATTGAGAAAAATGTGTACATGAGAAAATGGGCAAAGGGTAATTTATGAAGGAAAAACGTGTACGATGAGAGAACTTAGTGAGAGAAGTGAGAGATTAGATGAAGAAAGTTTGTCCGAAAGAGATTGATTATGAAGTGTTTGAGCCTAATGCATCTTATAAACCACACCCATTAGTGACTTCCTTGCAAAGCACCTAGTTATTAGTTGTGAGATCCCACATCGGCTGGAGACGGGAATGAAGCATTCCATAAGAGTGGAGAGAAGTGAGAGATTAGATGAAGAAAGTTTGTCCGAAAGAGATCGATTATGAAGTGTTTGAGCCTTGTGAGATCCCACATCGGCTGGAGACGGGAATGAAGCATTCCATAAGAGTGGAGAGAAGTGAGAGATTAGATGAAGAAAGTTTGTCCGAAAGAGATCGATTATGAAGTGTTTGAGCCTAATGCATCTTATAAACCACACCCATTAGTGACTTCCTTGCAAAGTACCTAGTTATTAGTTGTGAGATCCCACATCAGCTAGAGAGGGGAACGAAACATTCTTTATAAGAGTGTGAAAACCTCTCCCTAGTGGACGAGTTTTAAAACCTTGAGGGGAAGTCCCGGAAGGAAAAGTCCAAAGAGTACAATATTTGCTGGAAGTCCCGGAAGGAAAAGTCCAAAGAGTACAATATTTGCTAGCGGTGGACTTGGGTTGTTGCATTAGAACTTTGACTTTTTTTTTTTTTTTTTTTTTTTTTCCCTTTTTTT